AGAAGATGTGTTGCAATAGGCACTTGTGAGTGAGGTCTGAATCACCGTTATGGGGGGACAACAGGGACAGTTTTAAGTACATCACCCAAGAAGAGAATCTCAGTGACATGGATAAAACACCAACTGGGGAAAGGGGGCAACAAAGGCTTCACTGAGCTAACAAAACAAAAGTGGGAAACCTGGATCAGAAAGAACTCTTTCTTTGAAACAGAAAACATTCAAATAGTATTCAGTTCAAAGGACTGGAAATACAGGGATAAATAAATAAAATGCTTTAAACAATTAAATTAAGAGTACATTTATTTCCAAGGATAATAGGGAAAAATCTGCCAAAAAAGAAGGAAGCCTTTTCCCTCAGTCACACTATGGCAAGTACCACGTTCATCAAAGAAAGGAAGGAGCAATCCACCCCAGAAAGAGAATAACAAAACTTCTCCCCAGTTCAAGATACCAAGCAGTGATTTGTTTTCTAAAAATGTATGCATTTATTATATTAAGCTTAACTGGTTTTTAGCAGTTCTCGAGACCAAAAACAAAATGCACAAATAAATCTGTTAAATCCTGCTGAATCTGGTAATGCAGTGTCCAGCACAAAAAGAAATGTATGGAAAAGCAATATTACACTGAAGAAAGAAATTATTCAGATGAGAAGGTTGGGCAAATTTGGGAAACAATAGCCACAGCTAAGTTTGAAGAGTAATTGCTTATTGCCATAAGGTGTTTTCAAGTCAGTAATTCTCTCTCTGCTTCCTCTCCATCCAGCATGGGCTCCCCCCTCGGAAAAAAGATTTAGGACAGCCTGCTTTACTGTAGGAAAGGTGCTTGCTCTGCTAATAGTTTTCTTTAAAGAACTTTATTTTTAATTAGAACAAAGAAATGAAACACACTGGCTGTAATAATGATGAGGGGGTAAACACTAAAAAAAAATTAATTCACCAGTTCTCAACCTGGCTGGCAATCATGTAGTGAAAACCCATAATGACAATGACAGCACCAGCATAAAGAGTAATTAGAGGAATTCTAAACATTTTGTCTTAAGAAGGGTTAATAAGTTTAAAGCACCATGGTCTTACATGCAACAGCTCTGAAATATTTTTGACATGGGAAGAGATGAATGGACACCTGCAATGTTTGATCTTGACGCTCTGACAAGTTATGAATTGTTTCAGTAAGTGAAGAGTAATGAGCGAAGTAACTTTCAAACATGAAAGAAGTTATTTGAATGACCAAGGCTATGCCTTATATAGATGGTGTGGCATGGTGAACATCTCTAACAGAAATTAAAAGTAAGTAACAGCTTCATTGCTTATTTTGTTGGGAAATATAATCTCATTTTAGATTTTTTTTTAATTGAATGTCTAAATAGTTTTGTGGAAGAGTAGGCTTGTGAAAACCTGTAAGTTGCATCCTGCTTCCATCCAAAACCTGTCATAGTAAAATGAGGCAGATGAGTCTCATGTGACTTATCTAAATGTTTTCATTTATCACCTTTAGCCTTAGAGCTTTGTTCTAATCCAGGAGAGAGACATGCATCTAAAAACAACCAGCCCTCAAATCCAGCCTGACTTAAAACCAACAGCAAAACAAAGCAGCACAGATATTTCTGTACCCAGACTGCTGTGCTCAGAAAGAGCTTCATAAGGAAAGCTCAGGGTGGATACATCTCACTGTCTCCTCCTTCTCTTCACCAGTTTTCTTGGCTGTTGTTTGGGGTTTTTTAAGGGGCTTGATTTAATGAGAGAGAATTGTGCTTCTAACAATGATTTGCATACTGTGTATATTGAATAAATCAGATTTAATCCTCTCCTGTTCATTATCACATGGAACTTCTGGCTTTGACATATTTTGACCAGGCATAAAGGGGCAGGATCCAGCATGCACAAAGTTATACAGAAAAAGAATCAAATTACACTCTGGCAGTTTTCTAGACTTCTGCTAGTGACCTCTGCTCATAAAACTTGTTGCTTTGTGATTGTCCAGGCTCTTCTATTCTTTTAATAAGAATGATCCAAATATTAATGTAATTAATTTTCCATTAGTACATGTTGGTTCTGTAAGGCTTCAGAAGGCACTCACAGAGAAGCAGAACCCTATGTATGCTATTTCACTGATAAAGTGCTGGCTACGATACTGGGTCTCTGCAGTTCCCACTTCCAATAAATACTCAAATGGGAAGGGTCTATGGCTGTACCGACTTTGTAGTGGAAGTATTTCACGATGACCCAGCAAAAACAGGGCCCATTGTCTGTTAAAATCTCTACCATCAAAACAGCAAGAGAAACCACAGCAAATATTTGAGCGCAGGGTCAGCCCACTTCCTGCATTCTACCCGTGGCTGGAGGAGGTGGTGAAGGCGCTGCCAATTTTCCCTGGTATGGTCTGTCCTCCCAGACTTGTGAATGAGTCTGTGCTGACTTGGAGCTGCTCATCTGCTCCCAGAGAATTGTTATGAGAGACTCCATATCTGGCCTTTAAATAAATGAAAAGGCATTTCTATTTTGCAAATGAAAATGTTTTGTGATAGAAATGCTGTGCACGGCTGTGCAGGCCTCTGACAAAGCCAACTGGCTGCTGGAAAGATGGAAAATCAACAACTGCACAAATCTGGCTGCTTCTTCCACAAGTGTCGAGCTTTAGGCAATTGTAATAAGGTTATTGCATATTAATAGAATATAACACTAATTCAAGGTTATTCCAGCTAAAAACCTAGTAAATAATCTAACTTCTGATTTCCAAAAGCTTGCATATTTAAGTAGCTGATGGATTTTTATATTTAGTATGGGATTAAGTTTTGAACTGATATTTACACAATCAAATCAGTAATCTACACTTTAAAAGCTCTTTCAGTACAAAAGGAATTACTACAGTCTCTTGTGCAAATATTTTAAACATGGAATAGATTCTCCTCCTTTACCACTTTCTGCATCACCAGTCATTTTTGTGGACAAAATGTTTCCAAGTTCTTCAGAAGAATCACTTCCAGAACAGGGGTTAAGAGAGCTCTCCTCCATGCCTGGAGTAACACAGCCCTCCCTGCTGCAGATGGAGCTTGCTACATGTTTGGTGTGGGCTGAGGAGCCCACAGCTCATAAACAGGAAACAACCCACAACTCATTTTGAATTCCAATAAATATTTTGTGTTTTACTGCCTTTGGGACAGCGCTTGTGCATGAGTCAGGGCAAGATGAGGTGTTGATAAAAAGCTGACTCAACCTGGCATGCCTCTCACTGGCAGCTGTGGCGAGTCCCTCAAAACGTGCATATTCCCCAGGCAAAAGCCTGCATCCATTCCAACACCTTACTCTAGAAAATTCTCCTGCAGCACTTGCATCATGTCACCTCACCTGTGGTGAAATATGTAGTGTTAAACTGGGAATTAGCCTGCTAAATCAACTGATTCTTGTGGCATTGGGTGTTGGCCAGCTTGGGACAGACCGTGAGCAGCTGTAGTGGTTGAGAAGTCGAACTGTGACCAGAACCACTTTGAAACAGTCTGAAATGCTTTAAATCAACATAAGGCTTTTATTTAGCTTCTGTTTTGCATGGTCAATATTGCCTTTTGCTGGCTGGTCCTGAGCCGTGCCTTTGGGGGCTTTTCAGCCTCTGCTGTTACTGTTGTTTCTGCACCGAGTGCTCTGGTATTCAGGGCCATGTGCTAAACCCAAATTTATGAGAAATGTATGGAATTAAGTGTAGTGCTTGCTGCAGTAGTATGGACCAAACCCCCAAAACAGTGCTCTCTTCCCTTTCTAGGCCTCATTTAACTTCCCATTGGAAACATCTGAAGTGAGTCTTATTTTATCATCCCAGTACTGTGCCATTGACTACTCAGCTCACTAATTAAGTGAGATTCCTGATTAAATTTTGGGTTTGGTTGGTTGGTTGTTTTTTTTTTCTTCCCCACATGGAATGCAAACGTGAAAGCAAGCACGCATTTATATGATTTTGAGAAGTGTTTCGTAGGGCACAGATGGATGGGCACAGCCACGGCCCCTCCTCGCCGGCCCTCAGGCAGGCGGCTCTCACCGCGCCCGCGGCAGCGCCTCCGGCCGGCGGGGCTTTATGCGCCCCTCACCGAACGTCCCGGGGGCTCAGGCTCGACCCCCTCAGCCCCGTGTGCCGGTAAAAATGGGGGGGGCACGGAGGGAACGGGAGCCGGGAGGTTGTGAGGGGAGTGAGGGGAGCGAGAAATGTGAGGGCACTGAGGAGTTCAAGGGCAGTAGAGGAATGTGAGGGCAATGTAGACAGTGAGGGGTGGGAGGGATGTGAAGGGAGTGAGGGCAGGGGGTGTGAGGGCAGCGAACGGAGTGAGGGCAGTGAGGGGTGTGAGGGCAGCGAACCGAGTGAGGGCAGTGAGGGGTATGACGGCAGCGAACGGTGTGAGGGCAGTGAACGGAGTGAGGGCAGTGAGGAGTGTGAGGGCAATGAGGGGTATGAGGGCAGCGAACGGAGTGAAGGCAATGAAGAGAGCGAAGGAAATGAGGAGTGTGGGGGGTGTGAGGGCAGTGAGGGGTGTGAGGGGAGCGGGGCCGCCCCCGCCCCGCCAATGGCGCACGGCCGCGGCGGGAGGTGTGTGCCGACCTCACTTCCGGGACCTGTCACCGGCCGCTCCCGCCCCACTCCCGTTCCCGTTCCCTCCCCGTTCCTTCCCCGCTCCCGCTCCTTCCTCGCCAGCAGCCGGGGACACGGCTCGGCCCGGCCCCGCCCTGCGCTGCCCGTGGCAGCGATGCACGGTACTGCCTTAGGGGCGGCCTCTGCCCGCGCGGTGCCCGTGTCCCGGCCGGGGCGCCGGCAGGAGGCGGGAGCGCCCGCCCGGGGTTGGGTGACGCCCCCGGCTCGCTAACGCGGCGGCGGCTTTGCTAATGACCTGTCCTTTCCTCTCCTCCCTCCCTTGCCATTCGCTATTACTTATCTCTCCGGCGCCGCGGTGTGAAGCCCTCGGCGGAGCGGCGGCGGACAGCAGCAGCAGGAGGTAGCCGGCCCAGGGAGATGCTGTAGCGGCTCCCGCTGCTCGCTCGGAGCGGAGCCCTGGCCCGGCTGCGGGAACGGGGCCGAGGGGCTGCGGGACGGGCAGAGCCGGCCCGGCGCAGGTAAAGAGACTCCCGGGAAGCCCACGGAGAGCGGGGTTTCAGGGCGCTGGAGGTGGGAACGGAGAAGGGGGTAATGCGAGGGGCTGTCACACGAGGGGCTGGTTTGCAACTGTCATGTGTCCCAAATGGAACATCTGGATTGCCCTTAACCTGGAATGAACTCGGGCACGAGGCAGAAAGTGCGTGCTTGGAGGTGCCCGCTGCTGGCTTGGCTCGGTCCGGCGGGCTGTGCTGTTCCCGGCCGGCTGGGCAGAGGAGGGTCCTCTGTCCCGAGAGCGAGGAGCGGGTCACTGGGAACGCCTCCGGGGCTTGTTCTGCGGTTTGCCGCCTTCTTGGTTGTCCCCGTGGGGCTGGATACTTGTTTTTCAAAAAGTATTCCCCGAGTAACAAAGGAAAGGAGTGGGAAAAGGTGTTGCCTTGAATTCATATTAAGATTGGCCCAGTCTCACTCAATGACACGGGAAGCTGTTCCTAAGCTCTCTGATGGAAGTAGTATGAGCACAGGATTCGTCACACAGGATTATCTGGAATGATAATGTTTGGCACTTTTGGCATTGGGTGTCTTAGTAGTGCTGCACTAATAAAGGTGTTGCATAAGTTTTGTTGTGAAGGAAAATCGTGGTCAAACTCCTTGTATTACAGAACATGCACAGACTTTTCTCATTGGCACCTGGCATTGCTCACCTATTCAAATTTGCTTTGCAGGCGGCAAAACGGATCAGCTGTAAAAACGATTTCCTTTGTAAATCCTGAATCATTGACTTAGCACCGAGGCTGCTACCTGGTCTCGTGCTGGAACTGGGGCACTTGTGGTTCATGTGATGTGGTCACACGTCTGCTGAACCCAAAGCAGCACCGTAACTTCTGTTGGCTGGCATGAGCAGCCACCGGCTCCCAGTGACTTTGAGCGGCAGCTTTGGGAGTTTCAAGTAATACAATGTAGTGCATGGGAAGGATGAGGGCACGCAGACCTTACCAGAGGTTTGTGGAACTCCCCAGACTGCATGCTTGCTGTCTTTGGAAGGAATTCTTGGCATGGTCCAAAAAAACATTCTTATCAAGCTGTTGGTGCTTTATATTGACTGTCATCCTCTACAGTCAGGTGCATGGGGAGTTTTGGCTACCTGCTGGAAACACCTTGTGGGTTTGTCATTTGCTTTCCAAGTAGTTCTTTAGTGTCCTCATTTTCTGTTAATACTGTAGTCCTCATAAAGGGTGTAATGAATTTTAAATCATGGAGAGACGGTTACACTTCAGCTGTGATTTTGTGCTGTTATGCTTTTAATATTTTGTGTGCAGAGTGTTATAAAAATATAAGGGACAATGATGTCCTACAGGAGAGTAGGATATATGGCCTGAGATGCTAATCTTGTTCTAAAAAATGGATTCTAATGCTCACTGTTGTCCCAAGGAAACATAACTTTTCTTATTATTTTTTCAGAAGCAGCTTGAACTTCAAAATTACAAACAGCTCTATTCTTGTCCTTACTTTTCTATAGCTTTCCTGATGAGATTTGGGTTCTGACTTTGCTTCTGTTGCACATGTCATATTTTTGCAAGGGGGGAAACAGAGAACACCATACTTACCTTGGAAAATAAATGAAATTTAATTCATATTTATTAAATGTGCATCCATATTTTCTTACATAATTTTGGAATTTAAACATATTTTTAATCCACTTTTTCAAAACCTCTCTGCATCTCTAATTTGTTTGTTATTTTTAGTTGTGTATGCTTTTTTAAAAATATATAGACTTTATAAAATATATAAAACCAAAATCTCTACCTTTGAGATGTAAATCCTCAAAATAAAGGTCAATTGCAAAGACATCTCATGGGGCTGTGTGTGCACCTTGGAAACTGTAACTGCTCTAAATGTGTCCACAGAAAGACTTTGTGAGAATGCTCTTTAGGAGAAAAAGTATTTTACTCTATAACAGATAATTGAAATAGCACAGGGCTGTCACTATAGTATTCTCAGTTGAGTGGTTTTGAATTCTTTTAGTATGAAAGAAAAAAATCTGAATTATACTGGGATATACCAGTTATATTCCCTAGTTAGCTAGATGTCAGTGTGGTCCAGCTGTAAAACTAGGGACATATTAAAAAAACTCAATCATTTAAAAAATTATCTTAGCCCAAGAGAAATGAAAGCTTTTTTTTTCAGAAGAAGCATAAAGAAATATTTTTCTTAAGTTATATTACATCATAGCTATGCAAAATCAGTATTGTAAGCCCTGGGAAAATTTATTGACACTTTTTTTTTTCTTTTAAGAATGTCAGCAGCTTTTTATTGATGAAGAACTGCTTGTTATCACCAATCTGCACATGAAATGGAAGGGGAAAAGGTTCTGGAAAACGACTTCTGTTTCAGTCTTGCAAGATGCTGCTTGAAGGGGTGAGTACATACATGGACTGGGCACAGAATCTCTGTAAAAAGTGATTCATGTATAGTCAAACGACAAGGAAAGAAATCTGAGCATGTAGTGGCAGTAAATAGCTGATAAACAGAAAATAGTAGTACAGTCAGGAGGGCAAAGTCAAACTTCCTTATAGTCTGATATCTGCTGCTGTCTTAGGTGCTAGTCAGTAGAATTCTGAATTCTTAATGTTTTAGAAGCAGAGTGCTCAGCATTTCAAAGGACCAGGGCTGTTAAGTTAAATATTGAATGACATTTTATGAAGTAGAAGGCTGAATCTTTCCCTGAAGTAGAAAGCCTGGTAAGGTTAGGCTCTTCATCATCACAATGCTCCAAGCTAAAATCTCTCCAAGAGTGTGATATTTGACGTGTTGTAAAGATACTCAAGTAATGTGAGATTGTTGTGTGACCAGATTGCATGTGGCATTGAGATGTTGCCAAATCTGACTCCACTTCCTCATACCACTTCTCATAGTTTCTGCTTATGAAACAATATTTATTTATAAATGCATTGCATGTGTCTTTAAATATCTAAGAAGTGTAATTTCTGTGTCCAGTGAATCTTCTCGTGCACAGATTACTATAAATTATAAACCACAGCTCCCTGGCACTCTAATCCTGACTGAGGCTGGAGCTGTTACATGACTGGTTTGTGTTTAAGGCTTTGCTAAGTCTTAAAATGTGTGTAAGGTGTTAAAAATGTTTATACTTTGGAAAGATGCAAACTACCAAAGAGGCATAGTTTGTTCTGTGGTGCTGTGTTCATCCAAATTTCTTGGTTTAAGTTCAAGTTGTCTCGTGCCTGTGGAAACACGAAGAGTAGGAGAGATTGACAAGCATTTGGCAAATTACCTATCCCTTTCTAAAAATGCTGATACACTGTCATGGGTTTTAAAAGATTAATAAACTGAGAAATTATTCCCTAAATCTTTCCAAATAGTAAAAGAAACTTGTTCCAAAATGTGTCTGCCTTGAGGAGCTCAGAGCAGAGAGCTGAAGTTGTACTGAGCTAGTACAGCTCTTTGGCATGTCTCCAGGCAGATGAAATACATGTGAAAGCAAGTTAGTCCAATATTTTCGTGTTTCATATTTTTGTATCTCATGAGTTCGTTTGCATTTTGTTGAGAAGTATGTGGAAGGAAACCAGAGCTGCTGTTTGGAGTGCTGGTTGAACAAATCCTTGCTCATTTTTGAGTGTATAACATCCTGCAGCTGAGAGAACTTATCGTGGTGAATGGTTTAGAGTTTGATGTATTTTAAATGGAAAAATAATTCTGCAATGACTTAATATTATCTACATTTAACAACAACAAAAAATAAAACATAAAAGTGGATCATTTGAAACTATTCTACAGCCTGTGGTTAAGATCTGGAGGCAGATCTTACTGTTTTGTTGAGTATATCCATGCATCCAGCACTCTTATGCTAAGTTCTATTACCTGAATACAGGCTTGTATTGCCATTCTATGTTTTGTTCTGTCACACAAAGAAGTGCTACATGCTGCTTTGTTTTAAAAATTATTTACAGGAAATGATTGATATACAAATCACAGAGCAAACCACTGAACATGAATGTTCAGAAGGTAAGAACAGCTCCTGTCTTATTTACAAAACCTTACTTGAAAGTGAAGGCTTGAATCACTGATGATGTTTGCTAACCTGCTCTGTGTTACTGCTTCAGGAAGAGTGGTACAAAGTACCTGACACTGCAGGCATGGGGCAGGTTCCCATTAAACAAAACCAAACAAAACCAAGCCAAACTCTCTGGCATCTTTATTCAACAGGTATGGAAAACATTCCCTGGAGTAGTAAGGCTGAAGATTATAATGTAGAACCAATTGGATGTGCAGGGAGGAGAAGGGAGAAGGTGGGTGCTGTGTCAGGAGGCTGCTTTGGAGGCTCTTGTTAATTAGCGCCTGGTGGCTTTCTGTCCAACAGAGCAGAGGAATCCTCCAGTACAGCTGTCAATTAATTCCTACACTCTGATGTTAAAATATAATTAATTGCAGCCCACGGGACTGTTGGCTCATTGGCAGTTTTCAGTGGAAGATTACCAAATAGCCATATATATATGTGTGTGTGTGTGTAAATATATATATATATATATATATATATATACATAAAATATGTAAATATATATATATTTATTTTTATATATATAAAGTGCACACATGCTGTGTGCAGTTAAGCAGGCCAGTGTGATCAAATCAGGTAGCAGCTTTGTAAGTAAGAGACAAGCTTTAGTACCTAGGTAAGTGAGAAAGCAGCACAGGGTTATGCCTCTGAACAAAGCAACAGCTGTACCTGTGGTTCTGTGCACCAGTTTCATCTGTACATAAACAGGCCAATATTTTCAGGATAAGTATATGTTCTGGGCACCTGATTTTCAGCATGTATGAATGAACACATAAATGCAAAAAAGAATGGGATGTCCTCTGTCGGTGGTTCCTGACAGCCCTGCAAAGACAGGCTACAGCAAGAAGTGTGGCTGCACAGCATGGCTGGATCTGATCTAGGCTCCTCCTTTCCCTCTCCCATCCATGCTCCTCTGTCCGTCCCGTTTGCTGCCCCTCGGTGAGTCTGCTCAGCTCTCTGTAGCTGTCCGTGGTTTTGCTGGGTTACCGATTCAGTGAATGGAACTGTGTCTGCGCTGGGGAATTAACCTGGCCAGGGACTGTTCCCGGAGTGTCGGGATGCAGGGAGGCGGAGCAGCGAGCAGCGCCCCGGGCCGGGCGCTCTCCTGGGAGCCTCTCAGGCCGCTCCGGGCACAGCGGTGTCGGGCAGGCTCCAGGGCAGCTCCGGCCCGGGGCATTCACGGTGCCAGCGGGATCCGGCAGCGGGGAGCAGCATGGCTGGAAGGACAGAGGGACACGGAAAGTGCCGGGCCGGCAGTGCCAGGGAGCTACTGAAGGGACATCCTTTTGATGTGTGTTACTTAAGCTGACTTGGCTGGGTACCCTTAAAGCAACCTTATTTTGCAGCCTGTAACTCTGCTTTGGAGAAGGACTGTGTGCTGTGTCCCCCATAACTGCTCTTTCAATGCCTGATGCAAGGCAGCTGAAATGCCTTACAAAGTGAAGTAAAACTGAAAAGATGAAAATACATACATGGCTTTCTAAGGAGGTTTTCTTTTCCTGGTTGTTTCACTGGGCTCTTATTCTTCCTCCACCTTTCTGCAGATGCTTGCTTGCTTAGGAGTGGGGTAGCAGATGTACAGCAGCGCTGGTATTGCTGTTAAACTGGGCACCAGATAGTCTTCACATCATAGAGGATGAGCAGGGAAAACATGGCAGGAAAATAATTTGGTATAGTTTGGCACTTTTTGATCATGCAGGAAAACAATTGGGTATAGTTTGGCACTTTTTGATCACGCAGGAGTGTAGGCTTGTGATCTGTACACTGTAGTGAGTGACCTGATTTAGAGCTGTGAAGTCATGTGTCCCAAGTATATCCTCTATCTGACACGTCAGGAGCTTGCAAGTACAAGCACTTGATGTCCATTTGCCAAAAAATGTAGATTAATTGCATTCATGCCTGTTGCCAAGGCTCCTGTCAGTAACACTAACTCAGTGTAAACTTTGGTATTGTGTGATACATTTATCACAAGAAAAACTTCTAAAAGTAGGGATGTCTGAATTGTCAGAATAAAACTAAAGGCCTTTCTCTCAGCAAAAAAAAGCAAAACCACAAACCAAAACCAACAAAAAGCCCAGCAAGAAAAAGTGAAAGAATTTTGTTTTGCATTCCACTCGGAGTTGTGGCATGACATTAAATTGAAGTTAGTTTATTTTTAGCAGGTTTCATTTGTTGATTTATTTAAACGTAATAGCTGAGCAACAAGAGGAAAAGTATTTCTAATGAATGAGTAAAATTTTAGCACAATAAAGAATAAGTAAACTAAAAACTTCAGGTGCTAGTTACAGATGACATTGGATTTTTATGTGCAGGTAGAAGAGTGTAAAAGTTGGCCCATTGGAATGACTCAATTTTCAAAGACACTTGCAAGCAGAAGAGGCCTAAATTTGTAACATTTTGTGAGGGTCATTACTTTTTAAAGGATATAAATCCCTCTGCTAAGCTGAATTTAATTTATCAAATAAGTCATGTTATTATGTCTGCACAAGGGAAAAAAGTTTATCAGTGAAATAAAACCACTGCAAATACACAGTGGTGGTGTTCTCTGCTAAGAAGGCGAATTCAGGCTTCTTGAATGTCTTCCAGAAACAGATGTAAATTCCACTGTAGCTTTTCAGCAGTGAATAATCCTGGTCTGTTGTGGTTGGTGATGAATCATTGAGGAGCTGCAGATGGTGAGGGGGGTGCAGCTGTGCAGATGCTGCAGGAGCTGAGATGGGAGACTGCAGCACCAAGGGGGTGAAGGAGGTGATTTGGGATGGGTTCATATGGGTGAGAGAGCAGAGGGAATGACAGCTGAAAGAATATTGAAAAGGACTGATCTGAGATTTGGGATGGGGAGTGAGCTGGTGACTGAAAGGAGGTATTCTTGAGGAAGAAACACAATTTTTGGAACAACATTTTTTGTTGTTATTGATCTTGGAAGCAATAATTGCAGTATCACATACCAAAGCAACTGGTCTTTTGTCCTGAGCCAAAACAATAAGGAGCCCAAGCCAGAAGTTTAAACTATAAATGAAAAGAAAAAACTAAGAAATTTCATGTCTCTCCTACTTTCCTTAAGTAGGAGAGCTTTTGTAGGAAAATGTACAGATGCAAAGTTGTGGGCTTTTTTATTTCTATTTTTCTGAGCAGGACATGTGTAATGAGATCAGTGTGGCAAAATTTGGGAGTTTGTCAGATGGAGAAGTTGTATCTGTCTAAGTCAAAATCAAGTCAAAATTTGGTCCCACTAAAAATGGGAGGTTGCAAGGCCTAATCATTAAATAGCAGGTAAGACTCAAATGGAACTTTTCACAGTCAAAATTTGGTCCCACTAAAAATGAGAGGTTGCAAGGCCTAATCATTAAATGACAGCTAAGACTCAAATGGAACTTTTCACAATCTTAAATCAATATGCTAAACACACCTTTCAAATTTTTGCATTAAGTAATTTCAATTTGTCTTTTTCTTATTCTCCTCTCCTTTCAGATTGAAAGTTTTGTTCCAAAACAATAGCTCTTTATTCAGGAAGAATGTTGCCATTAAGATGTCTGCAAGAATTAGGGGGTGGTGCAGGCAAATGTCCAGATCAGTTTTGGAAGAGAGTTTTCCTCCAAAACTGAGAGCAATTTTCAGGATTGTTTTCTTACTTTTCTGGTCTAGTTACCTGTCAGGTTGTGCAGTATGGTCTGCTGTCCTGTGCCCCCAGCCCAATAATTCTGAACCCACAAACCTGCTCAAATTAGAGAGAGCAGTAATGGCTGCAAAGGCACTCAAGTTCAGTCATTTTCATGGAAGTTGGTGGCTGGGAAGAGGAAAGGAAAACACATTAGTGACCCTGCTGAGGAAGTGATGCAATGTGAATTCAGCAATTGTCTGTTCTGTTTGAGCTCTCAGTTTCCAGCCAGCACAGGGGAACAAGCGAGCTCAGGCTGAAGCAGCCTCAGTGTGTTTGTGATGCTTTGGGGGTGCCATGTGGGCAATAGTGAACACCTGTGTGAATGGTGCTTATCAAATCTGGGCGCTGCCTCAGTGCTCCCAACCTTTTATTGTGCTGTTTAAACTCACAAAACCATATGCAGCTGCAAAAATTTCATTGCCAGTCAATAAACTCAAAATGAATTGGCATCTGTCATATATAATGCATGGCCTTGAATGAGGTTGTTGTATTTATGAATGAGTTGATAGGAACAATCCATTGCTCTTCTTTTGAAGAATAAGCAAGGTTGAAATAATACAGGAAGGTTAAATATGCTCAGAAAACAAAAGATTATGTCATTATTTCTTATGCTTCTTTTATAACATTTCAGCTAAAGAGAAGTATTTTTATTTACAACACAGCGAGCATTCTAATTTCTAAAGAGCATGTTACTGCTATATGTTATAATATCTATATGATATTTATCTATATTATGATAACATACTAAAGAATATATTATTATCAGGAATATATACCACTTGCTATCACACATAAAGGTCTGCAGATAAAAGCCAAAAGGGATTCCTATATCCTGTTTTGTAAGAACATTTGAAGTTATCTGTACTTACACATGAACCCTAAATATTGTTGAAATACCATCAGTTTCAGAAAGCACATCCAAGTGTTTAAGTCAGTGGCAGTTGGCTTTTTCTTTTCCTAAATATAGTATGTCTGAATTTTCACATTTGTAAGGAGGCGTTACTAGACAGTTATGCTTGTAAAAGTTATGGTGTTTTCATTGACAAAACATTCATGTATGTTATGTTTTTCTGGGTTTATTTGGTTTTGGGTGTTTTTATCAAGCATGTGAGCAAGTAAATCTTCTGAGTGAGAGGTTTATGTAGCAGCACCATCAATATGCCAAAAATTTTGCCTTGCACTGCATCTGTGTATATTAGATTATAATTTTAATTGACAATTTCAGTTGCACAGATGTCTTTAATTTGTTACCTTATGAAGTTTATTTTTACCATATGTAGTGAAAAT